TTTAAATGATATTTACTAACACAAAATCACCTTTTTTATATTATTTATTTTGGAAAATAGTCAACTTCTTTCGTCAGAATAAAAAAATCCAAATTGGGTTTACATCCATACCTTGGGCATACCCAAGTGAAAAGTTCTCAATAAAATGGGCCAGGAATCAAGAATTAACAGGATATATACTCTAGCCATCCTTAAGACAACAAGTTAAATCACTTGAATAATGGGCCAACTAACGTGCTTCGGATCCTTCGTTTTCTGCTGGAAAACTCTCTGGTTCCTCTCTTGCCAAATCGTATATACAGTGCAGGCAATAGCCAGTTGAATTTTACTTGCTCTTATGCTCCTGCCCCTACAAGTTTCAAAAATAAATTTGGCTTCTTCACTCCTTGATTGTGGTCCTCTAGTGACACCAAGTTGGTGTAGAACAGCGTTCCATACCATTCTGCTAAAGGGACACGCAAAAAACAATGCATTGGAGTTTTTTGTGATTAACTGCAGTAAATGCACTCTGTCGCTTTGCAATTTCTGCAGATGAATATAACATAAATTATCCATCCACAAACTCACGAAAACACATACTAAAGGCTCTAATGGAGTGGCTTCCTGCTTCATGTTCTTGGGATCCTTCTGGCAATGCCCTTCCCTTTCCCAATCCCATTTTGGTTTTACTACTACTCAAAGTTTTTCTTTTTCTTCATGAATAAGGCCAATATCAATTTGCTTTCTTGTAGAAACTGAGAGTTTTTGTTGATATGGTTGCTGTTATTTTGCAGAAAAAAGAACAAGAAATGCAGATGAAGAGGGGCTCGCTGCTGGGAGCTCAGGTTCTGGTTTTTTTTTTTTTTTTCAATCACAGATTTGTATTGTAGAGATTACAAATCAAAGGCAATCTAGTGTCAACAGTAGAGCATTGAGTGTTTTTTGTTCTAAAAAACTCCTCCTAATCCATCAAATACCATACATTGATGATATACAAAATATCTAAAGACATGGTTCCTGGATTCAAGGAACTATACTAATAAAACATAAAAAAAAAAGAACTAGACTAACAAAAAATACAACCAAACACTAACATAGAGTTATATTGCAAATGCCATTCTACCTTTGAGCATTAACAGTTTTGCTGAGCAGGAGCATGAAAAGCTGAAAAAGCCAGAAGTGCTACCTTTATTTGGAAGTCACATGTAGGTATATATTGATAAAAGAACTACCTTTATTATTTATAATTTTCATTCATTGAAACTCGGGGTTTATGTTGGATGAATCTTGAGGCTTGAAACTATATAGGAAAGGACATGGAGGAGCAGGGACCAAGAGAGCACCTTCAAGCATCATGGTAACCGTTCTCATTTTAGGCCTTTGTGATGGCTCATCTTGCAAACACCACATTGCCACCTTCACCAGCATCTCCACCCTCCCCATATCATTTCTTGCTTCTTCATCATTTTCCACCAACTTCCCTAGATTCCCTTCATTGTAGTAGTCATATGCCCATTCTGTCAGGATTGCTGCCTCTTCCATCTCATGCTCAACACATCTTCTGCAACAAATGATCTCCAGCAACATAACTCCAAAGCTATACACATCTACCTTCACCGTAACATGCGTACTCCTGAACCACTCCGGTGCCACATACCCTTTCGTCCCCCTGATGACTGTCAACGTATGGCTCTTGCTGTTAATCAAAAGTTTTGCCAATCCAAAATCTGAGATTTTTGCTGCGAAAGAGTCATCTAGGAGAATATTCTGAGGCTTTATGTCACAGTGAATGATCTGAGTGCTGCATTCTTCATGCAGATATGTTAGTCCTCTTGCAATTCCGGATGCAATCTGCAGCCTCTGTTGCCAACAAGGCCTCAGAACTCCGAACAAGAAGCTCGCCAGAGATCCGTTCTGCATCAACTCATAAACAAGAAGCCGGTGCTCAGACTCATCACAGTATCCAAGCAATCTAACTAGATTCCGGTGGTGAGTTTGTCCAATCACATTCACTTCTGTCTTGAACTCTTTTTCCCCTTCCTGAACAACCTTGTCTAGTTTCTTCACAGCAACATAATCCCAGGACAGTTCTCCTTTATAAACAGTTCCAAAAGAACCCTTTCCCAGTTCTTCCTTGAATCCTTTTGTGGCATCTTCCAGTTCTTTGTATGTGAAGGAACGCAGATTTGTCTCAATCTCTCC